TACTGACCACTTCGGAATTAGCAATGTTTTTACTAACTTCACTATAGTGATAAATCTTGTGGAAAACTGTACTGGAAAACATAGGTATTGCTTAGAAATTTAACAGGGTGATTTCTCCTTGTGTGTATTTTTACTGTGCTTCAAAAACAAATGGACCAACACTGGTGAATCATAAAATGGCTAATTATGCTATTTAATGGCTGAATTACACCTACAGTAGGGACTATTTCCCTAGTAAATTCTAGATAGTTCTGACTACCTCTGACATAATTTCTGTGCTGTACCATCACATGCTACAGAAGTCCTTTAACATTAAGGCAGATACAGCCTGAGCAATTACAGTAAGAAGAGAACTAAAGATTTTGCACATAGGAACAATGCTTTCCATGAAGAAAACAGTCTTTTATTGAGAGGTAATCACAATAAATTTAGATTTCCTATATCCAATTGTTTTGTTTTCCTTAGCTGAAAATACAGGCAGTTTCTCTGTCCCCTATGTCCCTCCCAGGAGTACACAGTGATCTGGCAAACAGGAATGCAGATGCCAACAAAAGGCCAAATGTAAGGATGACACTTCCCAGAGGTGAAATTAAAATATAGATTAGGTTGATATTTTTGGATAGACAAGAGTGCCATAGGAGGAACTAAATAGCCTGTTCTATGCTTATGCTTTAATTCGGAATGCTGCTGTTGTTGAACCTTGATTATTCTCCTCTCCATGTTTTAGGAGTATATATTTTCTAGCATGTATATTTTATAGATTACTAAGATAAACAGTAAATTACTGTTAAACTTAAAGAGATGTTCCTTCTTCTATAAATCATCTGTAAATGAACAGCTGAAACTTTCACATTAAGGATCTTATTAGATCAACCTCAGAATGTCAGTGGAACAGTGCAGTTATCTTCTTAGTCTATACCTCTAGGTATCCACTTTCATAGTTTAATTTTTACTGCAGAGGAGAGTTGGAGAATGCAACTCTCCAGTTCCTTGTCTGGCTGTAGTACTCTGCAGCAGATCTGATAGAATTTGCATTCCTGCAACTTTCTCTTTTGAGTGTAAGACTAGTAGGTCATAAAATGACATGATTTGTTTTTTTCAGGAAAACTAATGATTCTGGAGAGAAAGGAATACTCTAAAATTTCAACAAACTAATCAAAGTATATATGAATGTATCTCTATTAATGTCATGCTGCTCTGTTTACCTGAACTCATAGCACCACAGAGATGTGACCATCCCTCAGGGTGAAAGGAACTGCCTCTATTTTCAGAGATCTATCCCATTTCATCCTACTGGTAGTTTTGTTTGTTTGCTTGTGTTCATCGGTTTTCATGTTCTATGCAAAAGTTATTTTAAAGGTTGACTGGACAGAAGGCAAATTCATCAAAGCTAATAATTCCGGTATTGTTCCTTAACAACTCTCAAATGTTTGGTGAGAAGAGGCTTTTGTCATTTTATTATTTCCTGTCTTTTCCCCAGATAGCTTTCTTTTGCATTAACCCACACACTTCCACAGTTCGTACAATTCACAATACCCAGACAAATAACAGTTTTTATAAATTACTGCAGAACTGCTTACAGGAGAATCCATCATTCTCCTGTAATAACCTGAAGTAAGTTTAAGTATAGGTCCACCGAAATCCCTAGACCTGCCTGCTTAGGCTGTTTAATTAGGCATGCAGTGAAGAATCATGCTTACATGGCCTGACATTCATGTCTCCAGAAGATGAGCAGTAGCTATGTGATGAGAAATACATGTGGAACAAAGAGCAGTGATTTGTGATGGAAATTAAAAAAAAATGCCCTGAGAAAATTAATTGGCTATCATTTATTCTTTCTGAAGAAGTTATATGTAATAATTTCATTTTTAGAAGACAGCTAATTAGGTGATGCATTGCTTATCAAATGCATTAAACTATTGATTTCTTGTGAAATCAGTGTGGGACAAAAATAGTCTGTAGTCCTAGTAAACAAAAACAGAGGAACTCCTTCTGGCCCTGAAGATTAAAGGTGATTAAATAAAAGATGTGATATTAGCGATGATGAGAAGGTTTAATCTCACAGTATTAAATAGTGCAGAGAAGATGAATTAGAACTGAACTTTTTAACAAAACAAGGGAGAACTCCAGTGTAACATCCAACAAATTAAAAATAAAAGTGTCAGGGTCATGCAACAATTAGATTCAAGTGCTCAAATTCTGGTATGTTTTTCAAGCTTGTATTTTACTCTGTTCTTAATTTGTTTGGCAGCTTAAGTCTCTTCCCTTTCATGTGTGTTGTGTTGAGAACAGTAGCTCTTTTTTTTTTTTTTTTTTTTTTTTTTTTTCCTTTTGCAGTCGGTTTTCTTGAAGATGGATCATACTGACATCCAAACCAGGAAAAGACCAGACACCACGAGTTCATAAAACTGTTGCCAGTGTTTTCTGTTATTTAGAATTTGGAGGTGCAGGGCTCTGAAATACTAAACTAATCATTGCTATTTACTGAATGGGCTCTGCAGTTTCTTGGGATAGGGTTATGCCAGTGAGGTGGCCTCAGATGATAGAACCTGTTCACAACAGTGGTCCTGAAGTGTTTGGTTTTCTTCTGTCTTCTACACCTCTCAGAAGCTGGGGCTACAAAAGCAGATGCAAAGCGTTTGCCTCCTGACTTACATCCAAATATGTTAAAGGATGGCCCAAGAAACTTGAAGCCTATTTGATTAATAAAAGGAATTATTCCTAAGTGTGATATCTGCTTAATTTGGATTTTATTAATTTAATTCTTCCTTTACATTGTTTAGTTGTTTTTATGTTCATGTTTCTTGACAAATCATCTTTGTGTTCTTGAGGTTAGACCATTTCAATATGTTAAAATTGTCCTCCTTTGAAAAAGTAAAAGATATTATATAAAACTCCAGGAAAGGATCAGAGTGCCTGAGCTGTGACTGTGTGAAAAAGGTTCTTCTTGTGGGTAACTAACAACATAAACTGAGCTTCAGGCCCTTATCACTCTGTTCCAGATTATTTACTTTATTTGAAATCATAGACAGTGTATTGTTGGTAAAGGTGCTTGTCATGTATCTCATGGCTTATCAAAGGTTAGTCATGCAAAAGGCTGGGTTTAGTTATATCTATTAGAAGGTTTTGTGAAGGGGTTAATGTATGTCCGTCCTCTGGTTAGATCTCAGCTGGGACCTTGGTCTAATGTTTTCTTAGATTATGAATATTAGCCTTTCTTTTGAATAGAGCTAAGATATATGGAAAATCATCTCAACTACTTGTCTCATGGGGAAAAAATTAAATGTCAAGCAATAGGATCAAAAGCCTTTAAAATTGGATCATGTTCTGCAAACAAACATGTTTATGAGCACAGCAACGTTTCTTTTCCAAAAGTGCCTACAGCCTACATAGCTAAAATGCGTGCTGCTTTCACAGCCTGTGCTAGATGTGTTCAGCTATCAGGAACCTGTGAATCGTTTATTGGATCTCAACTACCACAAAAAAGCTGTGACATTTGGCATCACAGTTTGCAGTGTGAACTGCATGATTTGACATAGGCAGTTCATTATTCTTGACCCCCTGTTCACCATTTGCCATGCACTAAAAATAGGAATACATGGAGACCCCTCAAAGAATTGATGGTTCATCTCATGTAAGAGAAAGTCCTAAAAATACAGCTTGAAGGAATGTAGCAAAATGTTTTCATGATATAAAGAGAAAGTTGTTTTGGTTGTCACTTCTCTGCCTTTCATAAACTTCCACAAATTCTGGGAAGGATCATATGGAAACCCCATGCCTTGTTCCTTTTGGCAAGTGATAGGGGAAAAGGAGTCGTTGCTTTCATTGATGTGTGTGCTTCTGCTTGGGACTGCCCACTTTCTCTTTCTTCCAGCATTTGTCCTCAGTCATTGTAGTTTCAGTGTCATTCTATTCACAACCAGCTTCTCTGAATTATCATCTCAAATCTGGAACAGATAAAGTGGCAGAAGCATAACTCCAACCTCTGACCTGTAATGAAAGGGATGGAATGCTCTGATGAGCCCTGCTCCTGGGCTGCATCAGTCTAAGCTGTGTGGCAAGAGGTCAGATGTGCAGAGATCATCTCAAAGGTCTTAGGTTTAACTTCTCTGAAGTCCCAGTTTTGGTATAATTTGCTCAATACATTACTAGGTATCCACGTGTTCACATAAAACAGTAGTAGATGGTTGAATTAGTCAGGACATGGATCACAGCAATAGGAACTCTCTAAACAACCACCAGGCTGGGATATTTGTGATGAGGTACTCATGCAGGAAGAAAACAGTCTGGTAAGACTGCTGCTCTACTCTACTATTCCTCTACTTTCACTGTAAGTGAAATTCTTCTTTTTCTAATTTTATTTCTTAGTGATATATTTGAACTGATTTAAATTGTATTAAGTAGTTAAACGTGAAGGGAAATTAAATTTATCAGAAACTTTGGGAGTCCTGATGGAAGTATAGGGCAGGGAGAAAGCTCTCAGATTATGTTATACTGACTTTATAATTGAAGCAGCTTTTCGCTGTTGCCTTCTTCTTGCTTTTCTGGATCACATGGATATTAGGTTATGGTTATCCTGTCAAATTAGACCGATCTCCCATATACATATGCCCTACAGATACCGTTCACATTTTTTTAAGAGTTTCTCCTCAAGAGTTCTCTCTCTTGTATATTTTAGAGCTCCATAAGCAGTTTTCAGTGTTTACTGGAAGGAAGCTTGTGGAAAATATTTTTGTATATATTGAAACTGGGTTTGTATAATCTATGAAATGAATAGAAATTCTGATTTATCTTGACATTCTTTCATGTAGGGATTTAAAAAAAAGTTGTGAACAATGTCTGTAGTCTGCCTCAGACTACTAAAATAAGGTCGCAAATGAATGTTCATCATCATCACTGTAGGCAACATCTCTGTATCAGGAATAAATTCAAGTAATATCTGGAAGGTGACATGAAAAATAGTAGATCTGTGTTAGTTTTATTCAAGAGTATAATGTAAAATTAAGAAATTAACTACAGATACTTGTGCATTCATGACATTTAGCTTCACTACTCCACATTTTCATAAAGGAAATATATTTACAGAGTCTTCTTCCTTGAGGGTACTTTCTACTTTCTTACAAGCTACATAGAGTGTTTTCAGTAGTCATGGCAACTCTCCACCTTCATCTGAGAAAGCACTTTGACATTTTTTCTTCAGTATTTAAGAGGATGTTGTGGTTTAGGCCCAGAGGACAATTGAGCACCAGCCAGCCGCTCATTCCTTCCCTCATTGCAGAGATGGAGTGGGGAGAATATGGAGCAGGAATCCTCAAAGAATCCATCTAAGGACTGGGGAAGAAAAAAGAAAACATCACTTTAATTCAAATGCTAACCAGACAACACTTAACAGACAAGGTGGGGACAGTGAGAACCACCAACCACATCCAAAACCACCTCCCCCACCCCTCCCTTCTTCCCGGGCTCAGCTTTGCTCCTGATGTCTCTACTTCTGCCCCCAGCAGCACAGGGGGCAGGGGATGGGGGTTACAGTCAGCTCGCTGCTCCTTCCTTCTCGGGAAGTGAGGTGAACACCGCACACCCCTCCCCTGCCCGTGTGGCTCCCCTCTCACTGGAGACAGTCTTCCACAAACATTCTCTTGCATGAGTCCTCCCCACAGGCCATTGTTGTTCCCATGCTGCTCTAGCGTGGGTCACCCCTGCATGTTGCAGTCCTCCCAGCACTGAACCGCAACAGTGAGGGCCACTTCTCCCCTGAGGGTCCCAGTCTCCTTTAAGTGCAGATGCCCGTCTTGGTGTGGGGTCCTCCACAGGCTTCTGGTTGGCCTCTACTCCACCTTGGACCTCCATTTGTGTCAGGGTGGGCAGCCCTACTTTCTCACCACAGGATACAGGGGTCTCTGCTCTGGTGCACCTCTCCCCACATCCTTCTGCTGACCTTGGTGTCTGTCCTTCTCACAACTCCTCCTCAGAAGGTCCCCACCCTCTCTCCGGTTCCCCTTCTTAAATACATTCTCACAGAGGCACAGTTCGGCCTGGTTAGAGGTGGGTCCGACTTGGAGCCGGGGGAGCTTTCAAGAAGCTTCTCACAGGAGGCCACTGCTGTAGCCCCCTCCCCTGCTACCAAAAAAGAAAAAAATGTTCCACAGAAACCCAGCACACAGGACATTGACAAAAGGTCTGTTACCCTCAGTTTTGGTTACTACTAAGCAAAGGAAACAAAATTTGGAGTACATTTGGTAAAAGAAGAAACATTCTCACGTGCCTCTAATCAGGTCAATTACAGTCATGATATAAATATACTGATTTTTAAAATTACAAATTATATAACCACTGATAAAAATACAGTATCTGAAGTTATATATTTTGCAATAGTATCAAGTTATTAATTTTTCTTTAGTCATTCATTGACTGAAGAGCGTCATGCATTAAAGCCTAGTGCTTTAAAGAGGAAGTAACATTTGAAGTTAGAGCAGATGGAAAAAGGAAACTAACAACTCTTATTTGGTTATTTTGTTACTTTGGCTGTCTTTTAGTAATGTTACTTTTAGAGGATTAAACTGTAAAGCATCTTCGGCATATTCAGCCACATGAAGCATTTGCACTAAACCCCAAACCATGTTTAATTAACTTGGTTTCATTAAAACCTTTCACTAAAAGCACAACATTCAGTCTATTTCATTTCAAGATTTGTGACTCTCCTCTTAACACAAATAATTTTCACTGGGGAGGGATGTTTAATATATGGTTTTTCCAGCATTTTGGTGGGAAGAATGAAATGAAACTCATCGATCCCTGTGAGTTTCACTATGAGACAGTAATTTTCTTTAGAGAAGTCCTGTATGTGGATAGACGCAAACAGAATTTTAAAGATATTCATGCAGTCCAGTGTAAATTAACCTGTTGAAATTTATATATAAACATCTTGCCCATTAAAAATCTGGATAGGCTTAAAATGTAGTGTGAGTAAGAGAGAGTGTTAACTGAACTGATGATATACTTGATGTTAGAGTTGGAACAATACAATTTTTAGGAACGGAAAAGAAGAAACAAAGTGGAAATTACACTTCCATTTTGTAAAACTTTGAAGAGGAAAATCTTTTTCTTAATGCATTTGCTGGCTTTTCATGACACCAGATGCAGTGCTGCATAAAGTTTGGTGAATTGTACTGTCTTAGTTTCATTTTAGTCTACCACCTTTATTGCCATGTGTAGTGTATCATCTTATCTAAAATCACAAGGTGCTAAATAATGTCACTCGTACCTGGGAGTGACAGTATATACATCCAGGGATCAAAATGCTCAAAACATTTAGCACAACATATGCTGCCTGTGTAAATTTTCAATGTGAAAATACCTGATTTATCTCTGAATAAAGCAGCAAAAAAAGAAATCCACAGTTACCACTCTTCATCTCTGCTGTTCCCAAGTGACAGGCTAAACAAACAGGAAAAAAACCCTTCTGTTCTCTATTCTCCTCCCTCTCTCCCTATCACCACCACTGAACATAGAGTTTTCACTGTCACATTACAAAATGCAGGAACAGAATGCTAACACAGTTTCTCACTTATTCAAGATACCTAATGATATTGGCGAGTTAGCCAGGGTGTCCATTAATTCCCTCTGTGGTCATATATGGGCAGCTGAATATGATCCAAAACCACCGAAATATTTTACACTCTAGGCTCTAGAAAGCTGATACGTTGAAGATTAGGTGGCCTATCTGAAGGCTTTACAGACTGTGAATGAACAGACACTTCTTATTTGCTGTTCATGCTGCAAAATCTTCATCATGCCACTGTGTGTTTTTTAAGTTTTCTGGGGACAAAATGATCTTTAACAGAATGTGCTAGTGTTACTATGGGTTCACAAAATGATCTTTAAGGTATTTTTATTCTCATGTGAATTTACTGTTAATAAACACTAACTTATTACTATTAATAATAGTAATAGTATATACTATTTAACAGGATACTTCCCACCTTTTGTGTATTCCGATGGACACAGCACCTGGCATAATGCACATCATGACTGGATGTCACAGATGCTATCAGCATTGCTTACAAAGGAATAAGTATTAATGCATCTGCCTTGTGCAGGTAGCAGATAGGAGACACACAGTAAGAATATGTGGTCATTGCCACAGTGGAAAGAGTTCACTAGTGGAGTCTCAAAATAATTCTGTACTGAGAATTTTTACATGTTCACTAAAAAAAAATTGAAAGACTGAGTGAATAGCCAGACCACAAATTTTGCTTTCAGTACTGTCACATTCTGGGTAGTGAAGTTATTCAAAAACTAACAGTGAAGAATTTCAGAATTATCTTAAAAGATTGATGAAATAATAAATGTAGATAAAATTTGATGTAGAGGAAATTTGAACGACGCACAAAAAAGGAATCTCTACTTTATAAATAAATTAATGGGCTCTAAGTTGGCTTGCCATTTAGGAGTGTGTTCTTGGGGTATAGCAGAAAATAAATCAGAACTCTGTAGTGGTTAAAAAGGTAGCTGACATGATTAATTGGGAAAGACATAGACAGAAAATTAGAGAACAGCATTGCATAAAGGTGTGGAATGCCTCTATCTTCAAATCAGAAGGTGACATAATCACTTATGAGACACCTTCTGTACAAAAAACCAAAAATGGACTAAGACTGGAAAATGTGACTGATATGATAGATCTCTTTAAAATCAGAAGCATCTGGGTGAAGAGGTTGTGGGGTTTTTTGGTACAAGAATTAGGAGACATTACATGAAATTGGCAGACTTTTGCCTCAAAACTCAGAAAAGAAGGTGATCTTTCAGATGTTGTGTAGTCAAGCTATGGCACTCCATGGCATGAGATGCTGGGAATGATAAAATGTGACCAAAAAGCAGCTGTATTTTTTTCCTTTTATTCCCATTGAGAACTATTAAAAAACACCTTTGATTCAGGCAGTCTCTGATCAACAACTTTCTGAAGGTCAACAGAATATTATGGAGAAGTATCATTGCGCAGTAAGGCACTGCTAAAGAGAGAGTTTTGGGATGGATAGACCAGTATGGCATTTCTCGCCTATGTAAAAATTTAAATGGACAAAAGCCAAATTCTTCTGTCCTTATTGGAATTGATGTGAAGGTGGTGTGTTCATACTCAGGAATGATCTACTATGTCATTCTCAGAGGCAATCTATCAGTCTAAACCACACTATGTGCTAAATTAGTTCAGCTGGTTTTCACTCAGTTTGAAATATTAACAGAGCAAAAGTACAGCTTTTCAGTGCATTTTAAAAAGAAGCTCATGTTTGTTATCTATACATTAGGTAAATTGAGTTTTATAAGATTTTAAATGTGTTTTCAGTCCTCTTCTGTAAGATTCCATAGAATAATTATTTGTTCTTACTAAGGGATGAGTCTAAAATGATCTCTGTCATGGCTCATTTCTGGTACATTGAAAATGCCATTTAAAAAAGTTTTAATATGACCGAGGAGAAAGTCTGATAAAAGAAAAATAAACATATCGATGTGGTTTACTCTTTGTGTATACAACTAACACTGCCACTATTGTCAACAGTTTTAAAGATGCCAAGTATTTCATAATCTGGATTACAGGCAGTAGACTTTACTTAAAACATATGAATGAAATAGAAAGGTCTTGGTCATGCCATCTGGCACATGGCACTTGTCCAAGTGAGAAAGTTCTAAATAAAGAGGAGATAAGGCCAAATGGCTCTAAGTGCTAATGATATATTTTTCTGTAAATAACGATCATGTCAAACACTGTGAGTTTTGTGTATTCATGGAAATACAGAAGGTGGACAAAGAATGCACCATCCTGAGGAAACAGCTGTTGCAGAAGTCATGCTATATCTATCGATTGATCGATCCATTCAATAGATACAGGGGCTGTAGTCCTGGTGCTTTTCTAGGTTTTTTTTTCCAGGCAAAACCACATGAAGATAACAATATGTAAATATCACCCAGTTATCACAGTTTTTATTTTCTGTTTCATCACTGAGCGACCCTCAGCTCTCTTGCCAGACTTGGCCTTGGATGCATCAGTATTGTGTGGCACCATGGCTATGTAATGCTTTGGAGTCTGTCAGCTACTTGAGCTTTTCAGTTCATCTCTGAAGGTTATGGTCCCCACAAATAAAACAATTAGACTGGATTGTATATGGGCACTCTAGAACTTCTGTAGTTTCTGATAGTTTTCTAGTATCTTGTCCATCTGCCTGCATACTTTCCTGAGTGACTGGCCTTCATACTTCACCAGGCTTTGGGGATTAAAGGTAACAGTTTGAGAGTTAAGTACACTCTTGACATTATGTAATCACCTCTTCTACCCA